TAATAAAAAATATTATTAAACACTTTTTTTAAAACGAAATAACACAACACAATACACATATAATTTTAATAGTAATCTACGTGAAGTTTAACGATAAGGAAATAAAGGTGATTTTAGAAACAGTTCGTTCAGGGAAGTACTGCCACCTTACCTATTTCTGCCGCCACGCAGTTATGTTACCATTACTGTATTCCGGTTTTGAAGGGTAAGGGCGCTGGTGATATTACAGGCACACTTGTTAACTTATATATCAGGGTGACGGGCGCAGTGGCAGTGTCTCTAAGATCTTAGATTTAAAGCAGTGGTACTGTAACTGTTATAGGCAAGTGTGTAGTTTACCATCAGGCGCACAACTTGTTGTTGTTGTTGATGGGAATAATGGATCGAACATACGTAAGAATAGTGAAGGAAAAGGGAATTCGAGAACGACTGAAAAAGAGGATGATAAAAAGGTGAGATGATGATGAAGGTCAGCATAGTCACAAGTTCAACTGTTACTAAAACTTAAGAAAGGCCTTCAGATCTTGACTAATGGTACGATTTATAACATCATTGCGGCTTGGTAATTTCTTGAAACCTTCTTTTTGCAACATTTTATATCAATAAAAGAAAACAAGTAACACTTTATTGCATGCCGTCTACATTATTCAGTATTAGCAAATAATTCATTATGTTACTCAAGACAGGGTTGCACTTTAATGCCTTATTGCAAGGTGAAGAAAAATTGTTAAGGGCAATAAAAATAGATTCAAATAAAACTTTTATTGAAGGTGTATAATCAAAATCCCTGTGTAGACTTGCTGGCACTGATAATAGTGCCCACCCGTATAACCAAGAGGTTGATAGGGAGGGACACTATTAACTAAACTTAACGTAAAGAGATATGGGCCTGTATGTGTACAAGCCATTATGAAGTAACATTATTATTACTTGTGTGACTGCAAAATATATTAAAAAAAGTTAGTCTCTAGTGTTATATTTTTAGAGAGAGTTTCCGTAACGTATTCCGCCATCTTACTTTTACCAGCGGGCAAAGTGCTTTGCGGTTTGGCGGGCTTTAAATATGGAGCCGAGTGTTTTTAAAAATTTAGGCGTTAAAAGTGTTCACATGATAGTAGGAGCGCGCGGTAGTCTAGCATCAGCATTAATTGAGGATGCACGTGGAGGCGGCAATTTGTCCATGGGTTTTGTAAAAACTCACATAGTGGGGAAAGAGAATCAATTAAGCACAGGCCACACCGCGGACGAAGCTAAGCTAATTTAGCTTAGCTCACGTAGGCGTTCTCCGCCGCAGGGGCAGCGGGAGAGGGAGGCCGGACTTTTACCGGCTAAAACCTCACCGTGGCCTTCTCAGGTGCTCTAGTGGGAGGGATCCGGGATCGACTTTGCGCACCGGAACCCCCCAGCACCTGGGAGGAGCTACGTCCTCCCCCTCCCCTTCTCACGACGAAGCGGGCCACACCGCCCCATCGTCCTCCTCGCGGCTGTTAAACTTAGTTACTGGCGAACGGAGCTCCCGCTCCGAACGCCCGCAGCCGCGAAGGTACGCCGCCGCCGAGCGGGCTCTACCGGCCCTCTACCGATCACGCAGGTGTCCTTCTGAAGCGGGAGCGAGAGAAAGAGCCTTTCTCTCATTCTACGCGCCGCAAACGTTTAGGGCGCAGGCGGCTGACAGTGCACTCTGGGTGGCAAAACCGGGGCTTTGTCGCCCATTGGACACGGGTTCTCAGGTTGGTTGGCGTGTCAAGTATTCCCGGCATGCCAGTAACGACGGAGTGGGGAGGATGGTAAAGTCTCCCAGAGGTGGGTCCGCAGTCGCGAACAACCACAGGCGGGGTCGTGGATCGTAAACCACGTGGCCATAGCCCCGTCCCATGCGAGTTATGGGAATACTGGGCGGTGTTTAGTGAGTAGGAGTGTCATATAACCATCGCGCCTCACCGTGAAGCGGTGGTATCCATAACGGACTTTCCCCCGGAAAGAATAAAATAATTAAAAAACTGGCATAATTGGTTGTATGCAACTACGTAAGTTAAGCTAAGTTAGTTTAGCTTCGTTCGCGGTGTGGCCTGCGCTTTAATTGCAAATGGTTTGAAGGTATTTTCAAAATATTTCTGTTCTGATCCAGCTGTTTATACACCAGCGTGTAATACGTCAAAATCACATTACGTTTTTTTTAATCTGTCTCGGTATTTAATAGTTCTTCAAATAACCTGTTGGGCAAGATTGTGCATAAATGACCAACTATTTTTAATATGGTATTTCCATCCTTTGTCACGTGCCTACTAAGCATATAATGTGTCATTCCAATAATGCGCATGATTCGATTATGTGCCATATTTGCATGAATGAGGAAATAACTAAATAATGTTTAACGATGTAAACAAGGTTAGATACCTAAATAGATAGATAAACACTTTATTCACCAACATAACATAAATATAGATTAAACAGAAAAGAAAAAAACATAACATGATTGTCATAGCAGTGAAAGCGCGCTGACTAAGCATATCCCAAAGTTTCCTAAGGAGCTGGTTTTCAGTCAAGATATACGAGAGGGATTAAATTATTTGTAAGCAAAATAATAACGAAAGCGTAAAGTTAGATACATTGAAATGATATACATAGTAATAATAATAATAATAACGCACACACTCAACATAGCCCCGCACTAGGGAAACCCTGTGTCGCGGGTGCCATGGACACACACATAGACAACCACAAATTACACCCAAACTAGAAATAAATGTAGGCCATACAAATATTTCTCCCGGCCCGGGAATCGAACGCGGGGACCTCTGCGTGGCAGTCCGGTATGGTAACCGTTCGGCCACGGAGGCAGCAAAAAGTAAAGTGTAAATAGTGCATCTAAAATAACCTATCTGATATGTAGTGCATGGGCAAGTGGGAATATAAGTACAGCGGTATAGGAGTAAATTATGTTTATAAATAGGTTTTAGTGTTTATATACATATAACGCATAAAATGTGAATAGATCAAAGCAAAAACAAAATTCTTTTCTAGACAGAACCTGGAAAAGAATACAAACACACTACACAGATTACTTCTATAGATTTGTTCTATTCTGCATACCTATGTAATAAAATGCTTTTTACACTTTTTGCTGCATGGTCGATGCGTGTATCATTTGTAGTTTTGAATAAAAATTTTAACTGGAACTTCTGTAGTACATATATAATAGTGTACAATAGTGGTGAGTGAGATGGTTTCTTAATTATATACTTAATTAGAAACTGCATACAGCGGTGTCTACAGCGACAAATATATTTGACTTGTTCCTACTTTACGTTATATTCAAGGTGAAGCCTGAAAACCAGCAAATTGCTGAAACTGTTACCTTTTCTTCAACATAGATTTAAATTTGAAGCCACTATTTATTTATTTTTTATGCATCGTTGTAGTGTTGAAGAATAAATCTTTTTATTTCATTTATTTTTTTATTTTTGAAATGAGAGTGTTGTCGGTACAAAGGCAGTGCTTGGAATTTGGGTTTGGATGTCTCGTTGTATATAGGTGGTGGAATATAGAAAAAATGGAAATATAATACTAATATATAACTTTTTTGGACTTCAACCGTGGATATTTGTCTTTTCAAACA